AAGCCGACGACACAAGCGACAAGTTCCGACGACGCTAGCGACAAATTGTGCGACGACACGAGCGGCAACTTGTGCGACCACAGAGGCGAAAACATGCGACGACACAAGCGACAAAAAGCCGACTCCGACGACGCTAGCGACAAATTGTGCGACGACACGAGCGACAAAAAGCCGACGACACAAGCGACAAGTTCCGACGACGCCAGCGACAAATTGTGCGATGACACGAGCGGCAACTTGTGCGACCACAGAGGCGAAAACATGCGACGACACAAGCGACAAAAAGCCGACGACACAAGCGACAAGTTCCGACGACGCTAGCGACAAATTTTGCGACGACACGAGCGACAAAAAGCCGACGACACAAGCGACAAGTTCCGACGACGCTAGCGACAAATTGTGCGACGACACGAGCGGCAACTTGTGCGACCACAGAGGCGAAAACATGCGACGACACAAGCGACAAAAAGCCGACGACACAAGCGACAAGTTCCGACGACGCTAGCGACAAATTGTGCGACGACACGAGCGGCAACTTGTGCGACCACAGAGGCGAAAACATGCGACGACACAAGCGACAAAAAGCCGACGACACAAGTCACATATTCCAGGCTTCAGGCCCATCTCCAGGGGCTCGTAGATCACCCCGTTGGGGGTGGTCACCTGACACGCGATCCGCTCGTTCAAATGACCCGAAGCTCCTGCAACATAAGCTTTTGCCAAGTGGGAGTTGCAATTCGTCGGGAGCGTGGTCCTTGAAACCTGTCTGTCAGCTGGTTTTGGGATCCTGTTGCAAGCTCCAGGTAAGAGGAGCTGGCCAGGTGTGACAAACCAATTCAACAAAGGCTTCAGAGCGTTCCTCAACACCTTGGTGTTTTTTTTTTCGCAAAAGAAAGCTGCGAAGATGTCGGGTCCGCCTTTTCCCCCACAGCAGTGGCCACCATGTCCACGGGGATCGAGCCAAGAGGAACCTCAAGCACACGCGCATGGCTGTTCGTGGCTGTTCATGGCTTGTTTGGGACCCGCAGGATTTTGGCCGAGTTACCTTTTATCGGAAAGCCCAGATTCTGGGAAACACCGGATCCGCCGTTGCTGGTGAGAAAAAAGAAAAACGCATGGGGCCAGTGGGAAAGCGAGAAGCAAATGGTGACGAATGGAAATACGCTCCGACTCCGTCATGCGATGCCCGTAAGCTGCTTGGCTCGGCCCCAAGCACCGACGAGTACATAAAGCAGACGACGGGACGCTTGTAGTCGCGCGCGCATGGCATTGTGCACAAATCTTTCCCACCTGCTCCTCGGCCAGGGCCGGCAGGTTGGGCAGCAAGCCCAACCTGAGTCGGTCTAATCAGAAGAAGAGAACGCATGTGTCCCATATGGAAAGTCCCTGTGTTGGCCTTGAGGAAACCAGCAAGGTTTCGAAGAAAAACCATTTGGGCCTATGCAGGAGACACGCTTTCAGAAGCCCCTGCAAATATTGGCCAATGCTTGGTCAAGGAGGCTGTCTCAGGATTACCGTTGCAAGTTCAAGGCAGCTCACCACGAGTTTGGCTTGTTTACCAGAAATGGCGCATGAAAACGGAGCCAACTCCTCCATATGCACGTCTTCCGTTTTGAAAATGACACACGCGAGCTCGCGCAATTTGAAACGAATTGCGAGTCCCGAGCATCCAGCGGACGATACACGTAAAATGTGCGCCGCAAGGAACTCAAACTCAAAAACAAACATTTGCATGCCTTCTCCTTCTGGTCCATGTGAGGCTGATTGACTCATCAACTGGGGCTTGTTCACGTTGTTTGGGCTTGCTTTGTTTAGCTCCTGAAGGGCCATGGGTTTGGGGGTTTGGGGGTTTGGGGGTTTGGGGGTTTGGGGGTTTGGGGGTTGGGGGTTTTGGGGGTTTGGGGGTTTGGGGGTTTGGGGGTTTGGGGGTTTGGGGGTTTGGGGGTTTGGGGGTTTGGGGGTTTGGGGGTTTGGGGGTTTGGGGGTTTGGGGGTTTGGGGGTTTGGGGGTTTGGGGGTTTGGGGGTTTGGGGGTTTGGGGGTTTGGGGGTTTGGGGGTTTTTGGGGGTTTGGGGGTTTGGGGGTTTGGGGGTTTGGGGGTTTGGGGGTTTGGGGGTTTGGGGGTTTGGGGGTTTGGGGGTTTGGGGGTTTGGGGGGTTGGGGGTTTGGGGGTTTGGGGGTTTGGGGGTTTGGGGGTTTGGGGGTTTGGGTTTGGGGGTTTGGGGGTTTGGGGGTTTGGGGGTTTGGGGGTTTGGGGGTTTGGGGGTTTGGGGGTTTGGGGGTTTGGGGGTTTGGGGGTTTGGGGGTTTGGGGGTTTGGGGGTTTGGGGGTTTGGGGAATCGCCGTGCTCTTGACTGAAGGATTAGGCCCCTCGATTTTCTCCATAGCCGTGACCAGGCAATTTTTTACTTGGCTCTCGCGCCCCAAGCCAGTAAACAGCTGCCGCCGGCATGCTGCTGGCCTCATAGCCGCAGAGCGTCCCCTCGAAAGCGACAAAGAAAACTCGACCGCTACAGGTTGAGTGGGGAAGCACGACTTTTCAAATCTCTGCAAGGCCAAAAGCCCAAATCGAGCAAAGTGCCGGGATTTCAATAGTTTCTGTCCTGGGACAAGTTTCGTGGAGGCGGCCTCTGTCAAACCACCCATGTGGGATTTCCCCTCACACCCCCGTGGCCCTAAGATTCGGCAACAGGGCTGCAAACCATCCATCCAGCCGCGCACTATCAACGCAAGCGGCGGTGTTTGTCCGTCAGAGCCCCGAAAAGTCGCGTCCATTGCAATCAGGAGCAATGCTGGAAAGCTTCCTTCGCAGTTGCTCGCCATCCCAAGTCCGAAGACCGAAGCCAAAAAATGCTTGAAGAAAAATGTGCTCCTGGATGAACAACTTACAGAAAGCAGAAAGAATGTTGGTCAGGTTGCGGTGTAAGGTCACCGCGACTGGGGAGACAGCCTGCAACATGGGAATTGAAAGCTGAAACCGGAGCAACTGAACGCCCTTCCAATTCATGCCTGCAGGGAGCATTGTTGACCCCATACTGTGCATGGACGAAATCTTGCCTAGGAAACCCTGGAATCATTATTCCGCTGCAAATACCAACAAACAGTGGAGTCCCTTGGTTTCAAAGCGGTGCAGGATTTTGCCGGTTTATTCATAACGGGGTGTCCACCTGGGTTTCGTGGGGAATCAGACCACTTTTGGAGGGGCCGAAACCACACCCGGCCTGAGAGTCTGAGCTTGTTCCGGGGTCCACCATTGGCCCGTCCTGGGGCCAATACACCGGGGCCAACATTCGGCAAAGGTGCCGTAGCCGGAGCTACAGGAGGGCCAGCACAACCCGCCCTTGCCCTCCGCGGAAGTCTGAGGGCCCCACGACAACCATGCCACGCTTCGCCTAAAAAAGGCGCGACCAAAAAAAGAGAGCCGGCTCCCATTCGCTTCAAGGGCTTCGGTTTCGGGCTCTCAAAGGTTCTTGACGTCGCTTGGACCTTCAAAAACCAGAAACCTCCTGACCAGGGCCGGATCTGACAACCCCAGTCGTCTCCAACTCCTTGCCGCAAGCCGAAGGCTCCTGAGCTCCCGGGCAGCGGGGCCAGCGCCTGACTCACTGACAAGCGCTGGAAGGGGCTCATGGCACCCGATGCAGCTGGGACGAATTCTGGGCCTGGGGCTGGGGGGTGCCATTGGGGTACATTGGCACATGCTAAACCCTCCTGGGTTTTGGGCTTTGGGTTTGGAGCTCTCCTGGAAGAGGGCCGGCTTTCGCACCCCGAGACTCCAACCGAAGACTCCAGCGACTGCTTTTTGGGCCAACAGGTGTGACAGCTCCGAAGCTATTCCTAACAGTGGCATCCCCTGGGGTTCCAAATCGAATAACAACGCGAAATCAGAGGTTCTCTTGAGAACCCCCTTTGGAAGATCTCACTCGCGAATTCTAGGCCGCCAGGTCTCAGACCGTGGCCGCTCGACTCATGGCTCTTCTTGGAAAGTCCAGGCTGGTCCCTCGGAGGAGTGCCGCAGCGAGTGGGTATGGAACCTGCTCAAGCCTCAGCTACAGAATGCTGGCGAACCCCCAGCGCCCGCATCTAGAGGGGAGGACTTCAATGTGTAGGCAGGACATACTTCATCGGGGGCTGCAACCAACCGCGACCCTGCAGTAAGCGAAAAGAAAACTAAGCATTCGGCTCCTGAGTTAATTCTGACGTTTGCCTAGCCTTTCGCTCAAAACCCTGATTCAAGGCAAGGCATCCCCCCAACCTCCAACAGCCAGCGCCCATTTGGGAGACCGTAGCAATTCCTCTTGCCTCCCGAATGCTTTATCCTATGCTGACACGGAACAACTCAAGCCTCGTTCCGGCCAGGCATCCAGATGCAACTGAGGCGTGCAGCCGCTGAGCCCACATCACCAGGAACGACTCATCTACGAACTCACATGTAGCTGGGAATCACTCAGCCGTACATCCCTTTATGAAAGGCATGGTGAAGTGACAGGATACCCTCATGCCAACAGGCAGGCTCGCCCATGCCCAGTACAACTTGACTCCATGTTGGGCCTTGCTTGGGTGCCCGGCAACTTCACGAAACCCAGCAGCCGCAAAGAGGGAAGCCCCAAAAAATGAACCTCAGAACCCTCATCAAGAGAAATGCATTCGCTTGCAAAGTGCCATTCAACCAAAAAGCGATAAAATCATACCTAGCGCCAATTGAAAACCAAGACATACGTCATACTCGCCCAAGCAACCTGGGCGATGGCTCACAGACACCAAGGACGAGGGCAGCGCCGTCAGCTCCTCGCTGTTTCGTGGGAGGACAGGACTGGCATTGCTTTGGTTTGTTCCGACTGCCCACTGCAGTCCTTGCTTTGTGAAGATGCGTGTGAGGGCCTCATGCCCCAGAGGTCCCAGAGCACAAGGACAACCCTAAGCATGAAATAGCTGAAAAAGGCATCGGCTCAAGGCCCAGCCAGCCAAACAGTTTGAATGGAGACATGGTGTTTCAACGAGTCGAATGAAAACAATAAGCTCAGGTGACATCCCCAACAGCATGCGGTGCTCTTTTTAGTGCGCGCACCACCCCGCATGCAGCCCTCGCAGAACCTCGTGGAACCCTGGTGGAACCCTGGTGGAACCCTGGTGGAACCCTGGTGGAACCCTGGTGGAACTCTCGAGGAACCTTACCCCAGACCCGCCCCGGATCACCCCGGAGCCTATCTGGGCTGAGACCCCAAAGCTTTCAGCTGTTAGGGAAAAACGGCGACTGAACACGGCCACATCGGATTCAAAAGCTTCCGGTACTCTCCACGGCTTTGGGATGAGCTTGGCGTGATGCTTTTCCAGGCCCTGGCCGCCTCCTAAACCAATAGTCATCAGAACCAAACAGGGAATGAGTTGGAATGAACCTGGGTCCCCTTAAAGGATGCTACAAGGGATGGTTCAAACGGGGTGATTCCCTCATTCCCAGCTGGGCACCACTCTACCCTCAGCGCACAACTCCGCAAAGCCCCCGCAAAGAAGCATGGTTCCGTGCATGTCCCCACAAATCACGAGCCCAAAAGGAAACTCCTCCTTTCTGGCTCCAAAGGTAATGTTTATACCTATCCCCCCGCAAAAAAGAAAAGAACAACCCAATATTCAATACATACAAATATAAATATCTATACATATACAAAATATCATATATATATATATATATATACACAAAAATATTCATGTATTTATTGATTTATCTATTTACATGTATGTATACTGTATCTGTTTTTTGTGATGTACAATATATATATATATAAGCGTATGTGTGGGGACCCCCTTGCGGAGCCCCAGACCAACTTGTCCGCGCCGACCGCGTCGGGTTCCGCGTCGGGTTTCCGCGGGAGTCTCCTGGTAGAGAGCCGCCTCCGTGGCCTCGTCCAGGGCGGAGGTGGCCTCGTCGAGCACCGCGAGCTGCGGCCGCAGCAGCAGCAGCCGGCAGAAGGCGCACCTGCGGGCGAGGGCGAAAAAAAACGCGGGAGGAGAGGGAGAGCTCAGGTTGGGGTGGGTAGGGTGGGGTGGGTGGGGTGGGTGGGGTGGGTGGGGTGGGTGGGTTGGGTGGGTGGGTTGGCTTTGGGTCAGTTGAGTTGGTTGGGTCGTTGGGTGGGTTGGCTTGGGTAGGTGGGGGGGGGTTGGTTGGCAATTGGATAGTTGATGAGGCAATTAGTTCGTTGTTGGTCAGCAAGACCTTTCGTCAAAGGTTGATAGTCTTTGGCATCAGGCAGATCTGCAAAAGTAGCATATCGTTGGCTCGTTTTTGGGAGTGGGTACCCCTTTTTGGTGGTTTTAATGAAAACCAAGAGGAAAACCAAAATCCATTTTGGGGGGTCCCTAAAGCCAAGACACACTCGTATGCTCTCCTCATGCCAACTTGAACCAGAAGTGCTGCATTAAAATTTATCTTCGAGGGGGCAAGAATCTGCCCCCTGCTCCTGAGGCCGGTTCGAATCCTGACACAAACAAGGCTGATCAAACGAGTTCGCAACCCCTTCGGCCAGATTTGCAGAGAAGGCCCGTGATTTTCCAGACAAACCTGAAAAGTTCTCAGAACCCATGAGTAACCATCTCAGCCGTCCATTTGGCTAAGACCCCTGGAAAAAATAAATATATGTTCAGTAGTGCTAGATTCCCTTAAAAAGCAACAGGGGGAAATAATATTGCTTAAACAAAGAAAACTTAAGCAAATGGAAGCGGCCCCCCGACCCCACTGCCCCCCAAAAGACCCCCGTCCCTCCATGATTGCGGCCTCTGCCGCTCCCCGCGGCTCAGCACCGCCTCCCAGTCCTTGTTGGAGTCCAAAGTCAGGCGCCCCAAGACCTCCTCCAGGCGCGCGCGATGCGCCGCCTCCAGCACCTGACGGGCGAGAACGGCGCTCCGGCTCCCAACGCAAAGCGGAAGGAAAAAACCAAGGCCGGCTGGCGCAAGCCTTGAAAAAGAAAAAAAACAGGGGCACAAGGGAGAAGGCCGCAGCATACACAACCTGCGATTTGGTGGAATCACCAGAGGAGTGATTCAAGGGTCCAAAGTCTGATGACTGCGCACGTGTTCGCCAACCAACAAACCGCCACGCAATTGCACCAATGTCAAAGAGGCTGGTGCCAGACGCCGACAAGAAACAACTTCGGCTAGAGGCAGTCCCGACCCCCCTTCAAACCTCGTGTTCTAGGGAATGGGCTTCATTAATAACTTGCCCCGGGTGGTTGACCTTTCTCCAATCAGCCCCAGCCAGCCCGCTCCGGTTCATCCGCCTCCTCGTCTGTGAAACGGCCCTCATGAGGAAAGCTGAGCACCCGCCGCAGGGTGCCTTCCGGGATGTAGGGCTCCTGCCATGGTCAATCATTTTGGGATTGGGATTGCAAAAACCAGCAACTCCACCCAGACCTGCCCGACCAAACCCCCACCAACCTCCCACCAACCCCTCCCCCATCACCAACCCCCAGCAACCCCCAGCAACCCCAAGCCACCCCAAGCTCCTGCCTGGGGCAGGAACACCGCGGGAGGCCGCCGCACCGCCCCCTTGCCACTAGCCCACAGCCCCGCCAGCGCCCGGACCAGCGTGGTCTTCCCCACGCCGCTGGGCCCGAAGATCGCCAGGCGCTGGCCGGGGCTCAGGTGGAAGCCCGCCTCTCGTTCTCGTTTGGTGACTTGGAGCCGCAAGACGCATACAAACGGGCTCAAGCCGGGCTACACCTTGTCAGTGCCTGTGTGTGTGTATGTATCTATCGATCTATCTATCTGAATTTCTGAATATATATATATATATATATAGATCTGTATTATATATATATGTACACACTGATTTAACAAATATATATATATATATGTATGTATATGTAATATATATATATATATATTCAGCTTCCCTCGTTGCTTGGTGGTTTGGTGGTCCGGTGGCTTGGGTTAACTTAAGGACAGTGTCACGTTTACCTTCTACAAGTAGGAGGCCGCCAATTAGAGGGAAGCTAAGGAGAATGTCAGAGAGAAACAGTGGCCCCTTGAATAGGAGGGTGTCACTGGATTTCCGCTTCAAAAGTTGATCAATTGAGTAGTGGTGTCCATTGAAACGATCGCCACTGTTGGATGTCCCAAGGAGGGAAATGGAGGACCCTGCCAGCAGCCTCTTGAATACCACCTGGCCTGGTACAGCGGGGTCCCATCTGGAAGAAACAGCTCCAGATCTTGGACATCCAGACCTGCATCCTGCAAACAGGGGAGGGAACCAAGAATCCATCACGCTTTTGAATTTGTGGCGTGCGTTGTGTGTGCCCGTGACCGTGCCCGTGCCCGTGCGTACACGTGCACGTGCGAGTGTGCATGTTGGTGTGCGATCCATTTTGAGTGGGTGGTTGTGGTCCTCTCGTGGCCGTCTCTCTCGTTCCCTCTGTCTCCCTCTCTCTCCCTCTCTGTCACTCTGTCTCGATCCATCTTGGGTATGGGTCAAAATTAAACCACCAGCGGACCGCAGGTTTTGGTCCATCCAAAGTTCCATTTTGGGCACATAGTTTTGACCCACAGCCACTTGTCTTGTCCCTGCATGTGCACAGCTTTTGCCCTTCTGACCGCTGTCCTTGATC